CAAGTTGTTTTTTCACCAGATAGCTGCAGGCGATAGGGGCTCTAACTTCTCAATGGTGTGGCTGACCAGCGTTTTGGTTTTGCGGGCGCTGCTGCCGTGCTGATGCTGGTGCAGGTGCAGGTGCTGGCTGTGGATTCGTGTTTTGGTTTTGCGGGTGCTGCTGCCCTGCTGATGCTGGTGCGGGTGCTGGCTGTGGATCGGCGTTTTGGTTTTGCAGGTGCTGCCGTGCTGATGCTGGTGCAGGCGCAGGTGCTGGCTCTGGATCGGTGTTTTCCAGATAGCTGCAATCTACAAGGGGCTCTTGCTTTTCAATGGTGTGGCTCTGGATCGGTGTTTTGTTTTGCGGATGGTGCTGCCGTGCTGGCGCTGGCGCGGTGCTGGATCGGCGTTTGCTTTGTGGGCGCTGCTGCCGTGCTGGTGCTGGTGATGGATCGGCGTTTAGTCGGTGCTGGTGCTGGTGCTGTGCTGGCGCGGGCGCTGGCTCTGGATCGGCGTTTCCTCTTTTTTGGGCGCTGCTCCCGTGCTAGTGCTGGTGTTGGTCCAGCGGTGACATCATGTCATGGCCAGAGTGACGTCATGTCATACGAGGGATGACATCATGTCACGCCAGGCATGACATCGTGTCACGCCAGACACGACATCATGTCATGCCAGGGATGACGTCGCCCCACGCAAGGGATGACATCGTGTCATGCCCAGAATGACATCATGTCACGCCGAGGGGTGACATCATGTTGTGCCAGGCGTGACAAACCTGTACAGCCGCTATCCGGGGTCTATGCCGGTGGAATTCTTTCGTGATAGGACAGCGCATTAGCAGGAGGAGAAGGTCAGATTTGTTCTCTTCACCAGATACTGTAGCTGCAAGGTTTGGGGGTTCTTACTTCCCAATGGTGTGGCTCTGGATCGGTGTTTTCATTTTGCGGGGTGCTGCTGCCGTGCTGGTGCTGGGGCAGGCGCTGGCTCTGGCGTTGCCTTTTGGCCCTGCTGGCGCCGGATCGGCATTTTGTTTTGCCCGCGCTGCTGCCGTGTTTTGTTTTGCGGCGCTGGTGCAGGTGCTGGCTCTGGATCGGCGTTTGGTTTTGCCCGTGGTGGTGCCGTCCTGGCGCTGGTGCTGGATCGGCGTTTGGTTTTGCCCCGTGCAGGCGCTGGTTTAGGTCTGGTGCTTGCGCTGGCGCTGAGTCGGTGTTTTGGGGGCGTGCTGCTGCGTGAGGATCGGCGTTTTGCGCATGCGTGCTGGTGCAGGTGCTGGTCCTGGCCTTTCGCATGACATGATGTCGTCCTGGCATGATACCATGTGAAGAAATTACACCGGCATAGAGCCCAGATAGCGGGCGTATAGGGAAACAGCTCATAGTGCCTGAGGGAAAAACGCCAATGTCTAATAATTTTCCTTGTCAATGGGTGGCGCCAAGGGCATTGTTCACCTTGCCTTGCCAAGGATAACGCCGTGTCGTGCCAGGGATAACATCTGTCAGGGTAGGAACGATATCCACCCCAACGGTGCCTGACACATTGATGCATGTATTGGCATCGTTTCCAACGCCTAAGGCAGGACATCCTCCGACCGTACTCCAAGGCCTCAGATCAAGTTGTGACCTTAAAGCCTCATGGATTCCAACTATTTGCCGAGCCCACACACCAAGCGCGTGTGAAGAAAGTACCAAACCCCAACTTAGTCATGAACGCGTCCGTTTTCCTTCCCTTGCTTGATTGAGGCGTGCGTCAACGCATACATGGCAACGCTGCTGGGTTGTGGCCTCACTTTGACTTTGGGAGACAAAATGCAGAAACATAGAAACATGTAGCGTAACTTTGCAAGGTCCTGGAACCTTCAGGCCAACAACTTCTCTGGGATTGTGAAGCAATTCGGTTTGGCTGTCTATTTTGGGTGCTCCGGTGTTCTTGTTCTTCCTCAAACTCAGGGGAATGAACATTTTCCGTTCGTTCGACCGACAGGTTGTCCCGTGCTATCTCACGATGTGGCTGGCTGGTGGGGCCATCTCCTTACACAGTCAGCCAACATTGTCACTGTTTCGCCTTGCTTTGCATCTTTGCATTGCGGCCTGGCCACGCCGAAGCGCGTCCTCTCAGATCAGGTTTGGAGCTTTATTGTGCTGCTCGCTGATGCACATCTTCATTTGCCTCAGACTAGTGGAGGCGAAACCGTTTGAGCAAACATTGTTCGGAAGAACACACGCAACTCCAGAGGCCGTTGTATTCCCAATGTTTGCAAAGGTACCACAACTTATCCAACAGGATGTGCCAAATGCAGCGTTCTTGGCCAAGGTGGGGACCATATTGGGGTGCACGCTTGTTGGACAACCTCTAACAGATTCACCTGAAGAGGTGGTCAAAAGCATGAGCTGGCTTTCTTACCAACCACAGTACTACAGTAGTCGCTCGATAGATTTCTCGTTTGGCTTTCTTTGCGCCACATACTACAGCCCTCTCCAAAACTGACAAAGGTGCAGATAGATAGAGAGAGATTAATCAGTAAGAAATCCTGAATAGAAAGAGCCGGCGCGGCTAGCTTTCTCTTTTGGGAACTGTTGACTTCTTTCGCAAGTTTTCAATTTGCTACAAGCGTCCTAGGTGTTCCTTCTTTGGCGTGCCAATTTGTTTAAAGTCCGGGAGGCTTTGACGTCCCTGCCAGACCTCAACCGCCAGCTCCGGATGGCAGTGTTCCCCGCCGCACTTCCATCGCGAGGTGCGGCTGGCAGTGTTCCCCGCCGGACCTCAACCGCGAGCGCCGGCCGGCGCTATTCCTCGTCTGACCTCAACCGCGAGCTTCGGCTGTTCCCGGCCGGACCTCAACCGCGAGGGCCGCGTAGCAGTGTTCCGCGCCGGACGTCCACCGCAAGGCGCGGCTGGCAGGACCTCAGCCGCGAGCCGGCGGGCAGTGTTCGGACCTCAACCGCGAGCTTTGGCTGGCAGCGTTCCCCACCAGACCTCAACCGCGAGCCAGAAGATATGCCGGATAGAACGTCAGAAAGACTGTCAGAAGACATGCCAGAAAGAATTGCAGAAAGAGTGTCAGAAGATATATATATTTATTTATGCCAGAAAGAATGCCAGCTAAGAGATGCCAGAAAGAATGCCAGAAGCTATGCCAGATAGAATGTCAGAAGATATGTCAGAAAGCATGTCAGAAAGAAAATCAGAAGATATGCCAGAAAGAAATACATGCCAGAAAACTTGTCAGATTGCAATGTCATGGTGGTTTGAAATAGAGTAATTTTCAAAGAAGCACACCCCTTGTACACTTTGCATCTTTGACAAGACTTTGAAATTAGTAAACACATCACACCTGATCCAGAACCTCCTCTATTGAATCGAAACTGTTCCGACTGTGACTGCGTATAAATGCATATGTAGTCCTCCATTAAGGAAGAGACGTAATCTTCACACAAGGCTGCTCCTTTGCACGGATCACAACAATTGAAGTTCTTGTAACAGAAAGCCATGTTCTGCAAAGGCTTCATCTACAGTCGTTGTTGAAACAAAAGAAAATTGGTGATTGACATAGATTAAGTAAAGGGATTATATATATATATATAGAACGTTTGCTATAGCAGCCAAAAAAACCATCATCTTTAGAAGAGTCACTGTTTAAACAAAAGGGTTTCCAAGATTAGCGTATAATACATAACAATGATAGTGGCCAATCAACCCATTTGTCTCTGTTCTAGCTCCGTCAATTACATTTCCATACAGTTTACTGTTGGGGTTATTTGTTGTTTTCCTTTTGTCCTGCTGTTGTCCTTTGGCCCCTTGTCCTTCTCTTGTCCTGCTGTTTCCCCAAGCACAAAAAGGCAAGGGAAAGGACGCGGACGAGATGGCTCAGTGTGCCTGCCAGCTCACATCGTTGAGCCCAGTACAGACCAATTCCGGCTCATTTGGTCGACAGTCCGACAGCTGGCTCACGCAAACAGTCCTCGACCGAACCAAGAGATGGAAAGAGCAGCAACAGTTGGGACGCCGCCCCAGCCCCTTCGAGTTGTCCTGCGCCAGACCGTTCTACAGGAGATCCTCGATCGGCTTGGGTAGGACGGAACATGTGCACATGAGGCCAGAGAAAGAGAGAAAGGGAACTATGGTTTTCTTCCGTGGCTGGGTTTGAGGCTCGCTTGAAGGGCAGCAGATTCGTAGGGATCTTGGTCAGCCCCAAGAGTTCCTCCAAGGCTTCTTGCACTTTCTCTCGGTGGTTTGGATTTGGGCATCAGCCGCGCTGGCCCTCTTTCTGTCAGGACTGGTGGATGGCGAAGGGTCATGCCCGTAATGGCAATGAGGCGGCGCTTGGAGAATCAGAGCTCAGCGTGCTGGCTCAGCGCCTCCATCGTGCAACTCCAATATAGGGGATACCAGTGATCTCAACACAGGATGTGAGATGTATCAAGCACTTTGCAGCAAAGCAGATCCCAACATTGATTGTGGCAGAGACTTGATCCCTGCTGCAAGGCTGGGACTGCCGGGGAACAGGAAGTTGTGGCCTTCGCCCATCACTTCCTTCGATGGTGTCAGCCGCATTTGATTGCAGCCTTGCAGCGCTGCGACGAGTGGCGTAACCAGTATGGCATGAAACTTGCGCTCGCGCAAGCGCCCATGTTTGACACTCAACACTCTTCATCAACAATTCCCCTGTTCGAGCCAAGGTGCGTACGGCAAAGCTCCATGGACTCTCCAAGTCCCGGAACAAGAAGTGCTCTGGATTCCCTGTTTTCAGGATGAGCGTGACCTGACAGTGACCTGTGAAGCGTGCCGCGTGGCCAGCTGGTCACCACCTGGACCTCCTTCAACGAGAGGGAACATTTGAACCAATCACTGAGGCGCTTTCTTCGATCTGAACTTTGCCCTCTTCCAGGCTGGTGAATCCGCCATAACGAGGCTGTTGAGGACCACATATCCACGCGGAGTTCCACTGATGAGTATGTCGCGACCTTTTTAGACTGTCGCTGACCATACTGGGCTGGTGAGCTTCTAGTTGTTTATGGTGAAACCTATTCCACGCCACCTTGGATTTGAGTCACGGCGAGCGCAGCCCATTCCGTAAACCGTACACCATACACAGGAACTTTGACTTGACCGCCCCACCAAGCGGGCGCCCGCCAAGTCAGCGAGACATTGCGGAGATGGTCGACACGCAGCTCACAGGGCACCTCCTTGTCATTCTCTTTGTCCTGCTGTTGTCCTGCCCGGGCGAGCCCTTGTCCTCCTCTCGCCCTTCTCTTGTCCGCTGAGGCGGCTAGCGTGAGAGTCATCTCGGGGCTGTTGTTCAGGTTCTCCTGATGGATGGCGGTTGCCATGTGTTTGATGTCAGCAACGGCGGCCTCCACAATGCCATGGCTCCACGGTTCCTTCTCAGGAGGATAGTGAACTTGAATGTTCTCGGACTGGAGGAAGTCCTTCGAGGAAATGAAACTCTTTGCATTGTCGGCCACCACCAGTTTTGGTCGAGGATAATGGCCAAGCCAGCCTTGAACAAGCGCTTGAACGATCTCATCGGTTGCCTCGGGTTGCATAGCCAACTCTGGGTAGAGCTTGAGGAGCACCACAACACGAAGCTTCGTGGCCAGATCGATGATCAACAAAAAACTGGCCTTCTTCCGCAGACCAGGGACCGGCCATTCGGAGGTGTCCAAACCAATGCATTCCCAGGCACGTGGTAGAGCATGACAGCAGGTGGGACTTGGCCCGATGATGTGCCTCCAGGCTTGAGGGCCTTACGCGTCACAGGTGTGCTCCAAGGCGGCTTGTATCGTCCACAGTGGGTTTTCAGCCTCTCGCGCAAGACGCGCGAGGTTGCGGGCAGTTGGATGACCCGCGGCCTTGTGGAAAAGGGGAGGCGGGCCTTCCACTTCTTCAGCTCATGTGAGGTCGGAGTCAAGGAAGTAGAGTTGGATGTGGTGCCACCTTCTGGTAAAAGCTCTTGTCCAGCCTGTTGATTGCTTGAAGTGCAGTGCGCTCCATGCTGATCTCATCCTCAATTGGTATCATGTAGGGCTTGTCCTCCTTGGCAAAGATGAGCTGCATGTTGCGGTTGGAGACATACTCTTGACGCCATGCCAGGGCCATCGATTTGACCATGCGCCAAGGGTAGTAGGAGCTCTTCGATGTCTCGGCTCCTTGAATCCAGGCATGTCGATGACTGCCAGGGCATACTTTGGCTTTGAAGCGCTGGTGAAAGAAGGAGCTGGTTGTCCGGATCATCCATCGCTTCCGGAGGAAGTCGCCAGCACCATCATCAGCGCGAAGACCGTAGTTGCACCCATCAACGCGACAGGGAAGCCATTCACGACCGCGAGCTTGAAGGAGATGAGCAATGTACTCAAGAGGTCGCTGGTTCCATCCTTCACAAACCCACGGCCATTCCCAGTAGATGTCGGTCTCGGGATCCTCGTTGAGGGTGTCTTCAATGAAGTGAGCAGCTTGCCGACGGCGGTAGGTAGCCAGCAGTTCTTGGCGTTCTGAGGTTCACAAAGCGCTGCGCCTGCCACGAAATCTGCACATGGAGGTTCCCAAAGCGCTGCGCATGCCACGAAATCTGCACATGGAGGTTCACAAAGTGCTGTGCCTGCCACGAAATCAGCGCATGGAGGTTCACAAAGTGCTGCGCCTGCCACGAAATCTGCGCGTGCAATTCACAAAGTGCTGTGCCTGCCACGAAATTTCACGCAGCGCTGCGCCTGCCACACGAAATCTGCGCATGGAGGTTCACAAAGCGCTGTGCCTGCCACGAAATCTGCGCATGATGTGCGCATGGAGGTTCACACAGCGCTGTGCCTGCCACGAAATCTGCGCATGGAGGTTCAGAAAGTGCTGTGCCTGCCACGAAATCTGCACTTGGACCATTGGCACCACTTGGTGCATGGTAGACTGAACCACAGTCGCCGGGGACGATGACGGCGTCGAAGACCTTTCAAATGCTCCCAAGTTGCCGTCTTATAGATGTCATAGCCCTGTTGGAGGTTGATCCGGCGAGGTCGAAGACCCTGTTGGTCACAAGCTTCACTGAGCCACGAGTGCGGCGCGCATGCAATCTCCCGATGCCATCTTGCTCATCGAGGACGAAGTCCATAGTCGTTGATGCCATAGAGCTCAACAGCGTTGTAACCATCAGAAGCAGCTTCGCGGCCATAGAGCTCTTCAAGGGCATAGTGGAAGAGGTCGATGAGGTCATGCATCCTCCTCGTAGGCCTGAGCGAGTCCGGTCATGGCGGCCAGCTCTTGCTCTTCCATCACGGCCTTGCGTTCCTCGAGGAGCTGCGTGAGCTGTGATCCATCTCCTTGGGATTCAGCAGCTGCTTGACATCCGTGGTCGGTCGTCCCATGAGGAAGGACTGGATGCCTGACCCTTGGTCTTGTTCCTCGAAGTCGGAGTCGCCGGTGAGGTGCAAGGATACCCGGCGCTCTTCGCCACGGCCTTGCCCGTTTGCTCCGGCATGTTGCGCTCCCCTTGAATCTTGGAGATCTGGCGGCGCACAAGGTCCTCCAGGACAATGTCCGCATCCACCTTCTTCTGCACGGCGTGGACGATCTCGGCCGATGGACGTTCCGAGTTCATCAAAACTTTCAACTCGTCCAGCATCCGTTGAACCAAGGGTCTTGGTGTTCTGGCCATGGGATCCCTTGCGAGGCACGTACATCCAGCGGATGTTGCACACTTGGCAGTGTTGCCATTGACCGTGGGGGTTCGCTCGAACTGAGCCCAGATGATGTTCCCCGTAGCACGGCCATTGCTCCGGGTTCATCCGAGGATCTCGTGGATCGGGTCCGACTCCTCGAGGTGGATGGAAGGGCCGAGGTGGCTCCTTCTCGCGGCTGCCGGTGATCTTCTCCCTGAAGTCCGCGGCGGCCGTCTTGATGTCCCAGATCTGGTTCCCCTGCTCTTCGGTCAGCTGGCTGCCCTTGCTCCGGGACATGGCAAGAGTGGTCTGGGAAATCGAATAGGGCGTTGGGCTTCCAGCCACGTGCATTTGAGCAGCTGAGAGCTGAAGACGGCGGCCACAAACATGAGCATGTAGTGTCATCAACTGTTGGCGTGACTGCCGAAGACGTGCTTCATCATGTTCATGAACAACTCGTGCATGTTCTTGTGAAAGAAGTTCCAAAGGCATGAATTGAAGTGTATGGTGGTCGTTGATCATGTTGGAGGTGTCTTTCTCAATCACATGGATGTGGGGATGCCCGTCGTGACATGAAAAACCACGGGTGAGGAAAAAGGCGATGTCCAACATGTAGTGACCCTTTTGTTCTTTTCCAACTGGTAAATCTCTGGTTGGACCTCATGTGAATCCAAAGCAAAACCTGTTGCGAAATCAACCATCATGGATGAGTGAGGGCCTGCCAAATGGTTCATGCCGATCAGGATGGGAACCAGTTGCGATCGATCGAACGATGGATCGTGAAGACCTGGTGGATTTGGTGGTGCATAAAGTTCAAAACGAAGTCAACGAAACACGATAAAGTGCTTGTCCCCATTTGCCGTTCCCGAACCTGAAATAGGGCCAATCTTCTTTGTGAATCGAAACCACAGCTTGTCGGTCACGGTCTACCCTTACCTTTCCCCTTGTATGGTCCAGGGTGTCGACGGTCAGGGCATTCTCGAGAAAGATGAGGGCCTCCACATTGGATGCAGGGACCACGTCCTTTGCCCATGCCAACCGAGGGCGGTTGCTGTCCGAAGCCACGGTCTTTGCGAAGCGCAGCAGTCGCTCTTTGAGCTTCAGCCCAAGAGCGTTGAGCCTCAACAGCAAGAGACTCGGCCACGCGCTCGGCTTTCTGGGCCTCTCAGATCCTCATCATTCTCCTCCTGGGTGGTGTTCTTGTCGCTGTAGGCCTCCACGTTGTAGGCATCAGCCCAATCCCATGAAGACCACGCCCGGCTCACCTCATCGAAGTCGAGGGATCCATGAGTCGCCGACAAAATGTCTCGGCGTCCATCAGCACTCAAACCTGCGGCTTGAAGTAGGCGAAATCCTCGTAGGACTCCAAGCACGAAGGAGTCAGTCTGCAAAGCTAAGCTCGTTGAGCTCATCGCCAGCCATGGAGGGCTGCGCACCAGCCGACCTTCGGCTTGGTGAAGAAGTCGTGCCTTGAGGGACACGTTGATATCCACCACCATGAGGCGAGCCACTCTCCGCTCGCGACGTAGACGCCGGCAGTGTCGTAGTGGGTTGAGCCAAGTTGGGGTCAAAGTCACCATTGTCGGGGTCATGAACGTTCGCATCGTCCTGCGGCCACTCAGCCCAGCCATCCCACCATGCATCCCAGCCGGAGTCATAGTCCTGCTCATAGTCAGCCTCCTCAGCAGGAAGGCCAAAGTTTTTGTTTTGTTGTCGGATGCCACGCTTCTCCTCAGCCAGGCGTACCAAGGCCTCAACAAACTCAGAAAAACCAAGCGCTTCTCGCACCAGGAACTGGGTCATAGGCTCGTGAGCCTTGCGAGCAAAGCTGAAGTACTGGTTGCAAACCGCCGAGGCGTTGGGGATGCTCTGGCGCACCCATGGAGAAGCAGCCAAGCGCTGCAGCAGAACCTTAGTGCCCCCATAGTCGTCCAACGACATGTCACTCCAGCTCATAGCCAGCAGCCTCGCCGGGCCGGTAAGGCGAGAAAGAAGCTAGGTGGCAACATAGCGGCGCTTTGCCACCGGTGTAGCTCGAAAAAACCAGGAAACTCTCGAGTGTACTTACGCCACGTTCGTGGCGACCCATCCCACGATGGGATCGTGAAGTTGCCATCCTCTTTGGTCATGCTCGGGGCCGAAAATCAACTCAAAGGAAAAAGAAAGGGGCTTGCCAAGGTCCAGCCGCCCAGTCTGCGCGAGGACAATCTTCAGGATGAAGGACGGGCGCTGGAGCTTGCGCTCCGCTACCATGTAGCGGGAGCGCAGTGGTAGCTAAACGAAGGGCTCAAACGAAACCAACCAAGTCGATCGAAGGCGGCCGGCGCCTATGGCTTCTTTTCTACAAGACCTCTGCGGTCTGGCTTCAAAAAGGGGCCCCTGAGCATGAACGGCCACCAAAGGTAAAAAGTTGCTCAACTACATGGAAGCTCGATGCACGTGTTGCAGAATGTTAACGGTGATGAGTTGGCCAAGCCTGCCCTATCTTCGCTCAGATTCGTTTGAGGGCAAACCCGGTTAGGGCCTTTGAGGGGAACCTGGGATCGTCCGGGTTCCCGGCAGAACGCGTAGCCTTCTCGAGATCCCTGTGGGGTCTTGGTGCTTGCTTCGTGCTTCTGGCATAGGGGCCAGGTGTGCTTTTGAGCGCGCTGCAGTTTTCGTCTTCCAGGCTTTTCTTGCACAGCTTCCCGCTAAGGGACCACTGCGCAGTACGCAGTACTTTCCCGGATCAATGGGCCGACTTGCGTTGACGCAGCTCGTGTTGCTCATGCAGCACCCTCTTAGAGGCTGTTTCCGCGCGTGCCCTGTCCCTATGCCCTTTTCGCTCGCTCACTTCGTTCGTAGTTTGCTGGTTAGTGTCTCACTGTGGTCAGGCATTAGTCCGCGCCTGCGGTCGTGCAGCTTGAAAAGGAAAAACAGTTTACTGTCGGGGTTTTCTCTTGGGAAAGAAGGGCTGGCCACGGCAGCCAAGGTCGCGCCGTTTGCCCTTCTTCACAGGTCTGTGTCCTGGTTGGCCGCGCTGTGCGCCCTTGTTGTCCAGAGTCCAGGCCTTGTTCGGGTCTGTTTGTCCTGCTTGTCGGCGTTGTCGGTCTGCTGCCTGCTTCACCACCTAGTCCCGACTTTGTCCGCTGCTTGACCACGCCGTTTTCCCTTCCTCCATCGCCTTGTCCGGGCTTGCTTATGGGTATGAAAGCAAGCAGGGATGCAGCGTTTTAGATTGGTTATCATCGAGGTCCAGTTACATGCTGTGCCCAAGCAGCTGGAAGGTTATAGGAATATATATATATATATATAGGAATATATATATACTCGCAAACGGTTCCCACGAACGGCACTGATGCCAAAGATCCGGTTGAAACTGTTTGGGGTCTTTGTTATATATGTTTCCAAGTTTTATGTACAGTAGAATTCTAAACTAAACCCTTGGACAGTGCACTTGCAAGTGTTGAGGTGTATTATTCTCCTAAACATCCGTTCTGTTTGTCTTCGGTCCTTGGCTCCCTCCAGTGGTATGATTTGCACAATCCACTTTTGGAACGGATGGATCCACATATCCACAGGGTGAATGGAGACACGCTTCCCATAGCCGGTTACAATCTGCTGCAAAAACACTTGTGATAATGTTTTTCCTATTCTGTTTCCTTTGGACCTTTCTTTTATTTCCTTCCCTTCATAAACCATAGACGGATGATTTCTGGCATGACAGGTGTTTCTGCATCGCAGAGTATACCGGATAGTGGCAATCCTTTCAGTGCAAGTCTGAGCCACATGTGCGAAGTGGATGCTAATTGCATTTAACAACCGACCGAGCTAAAGAGGCAGGGAAGCAGGAGAACTGAACTGGAACTATAAGAGCATTTTAACCCTTCTCATTGCAGCACACAAACGAGATCCTTTTTTGCATTGCTTTGCCGTTTGCTCAAATTGATTTGCAGGTTTGCTGCATCTTCTTTTTGGTGGTCTTTCTTAGGTGCTAAGCTGGTTCGGAGGCTGTGCCATCCAGCTTCAAAATGTGATTTCCAACGCTTGGGCCCAAGTCGGATATTGTACTCAGCCAAACAGACTAGGTCCAGACACAGTTTTTTTGGTTCATCACTTGAAGTCAGCTCTACTGTACTATTCACTGAACAAGTAGCGACTTTGCCAGATCATTCATTTTTGAATAGTCTTAAGGTGATCACTGTAGTGGCAAGCGACATTGCTGAGTATGCAGATATTCACAAATTCAGGCTTGACGCACTTGCTTTCGTCCACTCTCATCGGCTTTAGACATTCCACAGGAACACGGTACCGCTTGGCTTGAAGATAATCGTGACGCTGATGTTGGCAGTTGCAATCGCAGGGAACTCAATGCTACTAAAGAATCTGGTTTCAAGGGTCTTGAAAGCAAATATGGCTGTATCTCATCTTGCCTAGGTGCCTGTATCGCTCAAAACCAGCGCGAAGGCTTGATTCCATGCATCTCTGATTTTTTGATCCACCAGCCAGCCATTCGGTAGCAAGATTATCAGCCGCCTTTGCCTGTGACCCAAGCAAGGACCTACAAACGAAGGCCTCGTATGCAGTCTATTCCATGTTTGCGGCCTGCCTCTCAGCATGCTTTCACGGTTGGTATGATCCACTTCAATGATCAGCAATTTGTGTTGAATGGCCACCAGAATTCAGATTTGCGCTGTGGAAATGAGCTGTGCCTTTATCCACGGCATGTTTGCGTCGGAGACTAATTGTCTCAACGACAAGCTCGCGATAGCATCAATCAACTTCATTTCAATGCTGTGGTTCTTGTACCTACTTCTTTCTCAAGTTGCTCAATTCGAGCCAAGGCTGTCCGATGCTCCTCCGGACTACCACAGTGTTGGACCGAACATCCCTGGAGGACTTTCACTCAGTTGTTCTGCTTTCTTTAATCCTGCCCTAGACGGCCGGATCGCCTGAAACTGCAAAAGCTGCAAATAATAACCCTCCGCCGCCAGGCCTGTTTGATATGGTGCTGGCTTTTGGCGGCATCGCCATTTTGTTTGGCACTAAAAGATGCTGCAAGAGCTTCGAAACTCGAAACAAACAAACACACCCAGGCCGTATGTGCTCGCAGATATGCTTCAACCAGAAAATTCCCGGAAGGTTGTTATCAAGGCTGGCAATGTTGAGGAATATTTTTGGGTGAGTGCAGAGTGCAGTGGTGCGAGGCAACTACGCAGATCATGTTCTTCTATCTTTCAGTGGCCATGATTCTCGACGCTGAACCAAGCGAAAACCCTTTGACACAACTTGCTGCATGCGTGTGTGTTGATATTAGCCCTGGTGTTTTGCGTGACCAGGGTTGTTGGGTTTTCCCTTCTTTGGTAGCTCTTATGGGTGTTTTGTGTGCTTAATGTGTTAGAAAAGCATATTTTTGCATCAGTTTCGGGGTTTGGTTTTGTACGAACCTTGCGTTTGCACATGATCTTCTTAGTGGCATACTCATTCTGGCTGACATTGAATCAGTCCAAGTTCTTGTTCTTTTGCCTTTTGTCCCAAGTTGGCCAGCTCCATGCACCATCTGTATCCAACGGCGTCTTCCCATTGCCCAGATGCCTTTAGGAGTTGGAAACACACCGTTACTGTTTTCGCCTTCTCAGACAACCATGCTGCACCAAATGTTTTGCTTTTACAAAAACACAAATTCGTGCTTCAGGCCCAGCTGCTTTTGTTTTAAATCTCGGCTGCTTCAATGAAGCAAAGACTGGGATGTGAAGTAGTGGGGCAAAACTAGTGTCTAACGTTCCCAGAGTGTAGACAATATGAGCAGGCACTAAAGCCGATCCCTCAACAACGCAAAAAACGATCGGGACACGGTACCAATAATCAGTATATAATGGCCTCCAACCTACTGTTACTAGCGATGGCCTCCAACCTAGTAGCTTCTTGCTACTAGTAGTAATGCAGTTGTTACAACCGCACAAATGACAAGCAAACACGTAGCATGTCATCCCTGCATCATTCACCCAACGTCATCCATGTAGTCATGCAGCAGCATCCATATGCATCACAGAAGCAGTAAACTGCACAAAGTGCTGATGGATTGTACAACAATGTCCCCATCGACATTCCCTTTTTTGTTTCTATTTTGTGCATGTGTGTGCGTGTTTGGTGCTCATTTTTTCCAGAAGGGCATTATATATTGTTTCTCGTTGAATGTGGAAGGATTTGCTACTTTGGCTGGGCTGACAGCATTCAACATGAGACGCCCTTGCGCTTGATGATGTCAATGTTGCTTGCTTGCACAAGTCAAGTTGACTTTTTTCAAGCCCCCAGCTAAACTAAACGGTTCCACTTAGTCAATCTCAGAGAACACACCTTCCTGAAGTTTTAGTAGAGCACCTTGACAGGACATTTGACTCGATGACCAAGGAGCACAGGCTATCAGTATGCAGCCAGAATTATAAGCTTTTTGTTCATCATCAAGACGGTCTTCCCTGCAAGATTAATACGCTATCTATCTATTTGCCTGCATGTTTGTTTGCCTGTCTGTATGTATCTATGCCGACGGACTGAAGATAGAATGTGCGCTTGGAAATTTGAACTGACTATAAATTGTCAGTGCACGGGTACACTGAAACGCTACATTCTATTTGAGGCCCTTTGTTAGCGAAGTTGGATTGTGAAGTGTCATTTTCCATTAGACATAGAATGTGTTGTGACATATGCTTCACTGCTGCCCTTCCGCGCCTAAGAATGCCTGGCCCAGAGCAGAGGAATTTAAGAGGAAATCAATAGGAATCAAAAGGAAAATAAAAGGACATCAACAGGAATGAAACAGAATTTACAGAGGAAGTTGATAAGAATCACAATCAAAAGTAACTTAAAACAGGAAATTAATTGGAATCCCAAAGGTAGCCAGTAAGAATCAACAGGAACTTACAAGGATATCAATAGGAATCAAAAGGAAACCAATAGGAGCCAACAGGAATTTACAA